GGTTTGCTATTACATCTCTAACATTTAATTATAATCAAAAAGCCTTACTAGCAAGCAGATTTTGTATTGTACACTGAAAAACCTAAGATTAACTTAAATTTGTGGAACATTAAAAAACTGCATATTGTTTTCCAACTCACTTACTGCTCATTATTGTATAGCAATGTCTTAACTGTAACCAAATTTTGCTTAAAATTTAATGTTACTCACTGCTCACTTTAATAGATGATTGTTTTGCTATAGTGGGTAACTGGAAAATAGTTTTAATATTCCATAGTCAATAAAAAAGTTGATTTTTTTTTAATTTGGTGGGTTATGGGACTTGAACTCTGGGCCGGAGTGCTGTCCCTGCGCTCTTCAGCTCAAGGTGAGCATTCTACTGATTGAGCCACAGCACAACTTCCTGTTTTCTAAGTGGTGTATTGGAGCTAAAAGTCTCACAGAGTTTCCTGCCTGGGCTGGCTTTGAACTGTGATCCTCAAATTTCAGCTTTCTGGGTAGCTAGGATTACAGGCGTGAGCCACCAGCGCCCAGCAAAAGTTGATATTTAATCACTTCTATGTTTGGGAAATGAGAAATATTTTCTAAAGCCTGAACTGGTTTTGGCTTCTCAAGACTTGCCTGGCTCTTACACAATAGAGAAGCAAATGTTTGTTCGTGTAAGTCTATAGTGGATTTGATGGGATGTACTGAGGTGGAGGAAGGAGTAAAGATTCAGTTAAGACGGAATTGGGGTCTTCAGATTTTAAACAGAATGATAAGTTTCTCATCATTTCATATTGTTACTGAAATCAAAAGGTAAAGCCACAGTTATTAATGTTTTGGATTCTCAAATCTCAGATTAGGTGAAAGTTAGTAACAATTAATGAGTAGTTAAGAGAACCCATATCATTTCCTGCTAGTACAACTGTCTATTTATCCCAGAATTAAGTTGGAACAATAAACTTGCTGAGTTTTTTTGCCTACTCACAATAGCTTTCTATAACTAGTTTGCTCTTTAGTCTTTTGCCAGCGTATCTCTGGCCCAGTGTTTCATTTAGTGTTGATGTGTTTAACATAATGCACATCATATCATCAAGAACTGTTTGTGTTAAACAATAGGTACTTTTTTATAGAGATAAATCCAATTATGCTCTATAAGATCATATTTGTTTTCACAATGTATAATAGGAAAAGATATAAAAGATCAAAAAATAATTTGTTCCTTAATTATATATCTTTATAACCAGCAAAATTATTGTATTTTCATAAAGTACTCTACTGAAGATGAATGACTTTCGAGGTAAAAATGTACTAATAATACAAACTTTAAAAATATATCTGTTTACAGTCTGGCAAAACCATGTTATTTCAGAGTTTCATAAAAATATTCATCAAATTGCTTTTGTACCCAATTGTTAAATACTTAAATTTAGTTTGATGATACTTGATGTGGTAATTTGTTCAAGTTGTTTTCTAATATTCACTGGAATAGAGATAGTTTGATTTCACATGCTCAGGGTGTGCCTGGATAGATTAGCACATTGAATCTTCCTAGTACCTGGATTATGCACATCTTTCTGAATCAAATGAGGAGGAAAATAGGCTTATAAAGGAAAAAAGTAGGGGAGAGGGAAATGAATATGCACTTGGCAGCTAATTGTGATCATAACAAAGAATACATAGCTATGATTAGCAGATTCTCTAGAATAATAATAATATTTTGAAAAAATACCTGGAAATACATTAAAGACTATAATCTGGAGTAATATCTAAAAATGTTCAAAGTGTGCTTTGATGCTGCAATCGACTATACTTTTCACACATTAATGGATAGATTTGGTCAATATTAGAACAGTTTTACTTTTAAAATGCAGAACAACTGCAATTACTCTCCATAGCTATTTGTCAGTTTTCTGTTAATATACTTTTAAAGTACTGCCAAATCATAAGTGTTATAATCAAGATCATGTCCCCAAACAAACACACACAAAAGACAGGGAAAACAAAAGCAGCAGAAATAATTATTAAAATAGCTGTTTTATGAAAATACACATTTAATTAGTCACTAATAATGAAGGATCCTAGTCTATTTAGCTTGAGTACAATTATGAGCACAAATGCTATGTAAACTAAATTTCTTCCTTTATGATTCAAGTTCCATGTATCAAAATCACATGTCATAATTTTTGGGTTTTTTTGGGTCCGGTTGTGGGGCCTGACCTCTGGGCCTGGGCGCTGTCCCTCAGCTCTTCAGCTCAAGGCCAGCGCTCTACCACTTGAGCCACAGCGCCACTTCTGGCTTTTTTCTTTTTGCTTATGTGGTGCTGAGGAATTGAACCCAGGGCCTCATGCATGCAAGGCAAGCACTCTACCACTGAGCCACCTTCCCAGCCCCGACACATGCTATAATTTTGTATTTTGTTTCTATCTTATATATCATTTTAATATATCCACCTTAAGTCCTGTCACAAATACATGTAATAGAATATCAGCATGAAAATTATCACATAATAAAAGTGCATTTGTAACTTAAATAGCACCTATAATTATAGTCAACATCATCAGAATAATAAGATTCCAAGGTGTATATTTCCTATCCATTGTAGACTCTAAAATCACTCATTGATTTCATAGCACTCTTCCCTATGTTGTTAGAACACTAAGTCTCGAAGAGTTGAATTCTTTTGTGAGTCTGTTCAAATATTAGGTAACACAATATGGTTTGACTTCAAATACCAACACATGATCTCCCCATCTCTATCCTTAGTCTACTTCTTTGGGATCTAAGTTTCCTTACAATTATAAAGCAGTAGAAAGACTTTCCAACTGAACATGGAATGGATTAGTTTTCAGTTTAAGTCACACTAGGCAGAATGTATTTCTGTCTAGGAAAATAAGTGGCTGCATTATTAATTTATTAATTTGCTGCATTTAAAGATTAAGCTTAACTTTTTTCACTCTTCCTCTTTTCTTTCATTTATCAAATGCTAATGGCACATTACAAACAATTTGAAATGATGTCTAAAACACAGTCACAATATCCTCTTTGTAGTAGTTGCACTCATGGAAGTGTGATTACACTCCCTGTATTCCACTGCCCCTTTGTGTGACAGGCAGGGATTATGATGTAGCTATTGCATTTGACAATGGAGTTCAGTACATAGACTTGTGTGCTTATTTTACATGGTGACATTTCCACTAATGACATTTTAATAAGAATAATTCAATGTGCAAGAAAGCTCTACCATGTTAAGAATTCTCAACTTCAAGAAAAGAATCACATGGAAAAACCTTCCCAGTTTAGGACTATTCCTCTAGGTGTTTGTGAAATTCTAAAGTAGCAGTCATAAATTGTCATTAACGTTCAAGTCGAAGGGCTGATGCTTCTGAATCAAATCTGCATTGAAAAATATATTTCCTTCTTTTCAGGATTGGAAGTCAAGGCCTCATGCTTATTAAACTTGTTTGCTAGACTTGCTTGCTTGGATGGGGCTATTTCAGTAGGCTATGCCTACTGCCGTGCTTTATATTGGCTATTTTAAAGCTAGGGTCTCATGGACTTTATTTTGTAGAGTTGCCTTGAAATGAAAACCTCCAGGTTTCAGTCTCCTGAGTGACAAGAATGAAAGGGGTGAACCACCAGGGCCTGGCTAATGAGCTTCCTTTCCTCTTTCCGTTTTCCTTTCCTTTCCTTTCCTTTCGTTTTTCCTTCCCTTTCCTTCCCTTTTCACTTCCTTTCCTTCCCTTCTCTTCCCTCCATCCCCTCTCCCCTCCATCCCCTCTTCCCTCTTTTTGTCTCTCTTTTTACTTTTGGCTCTATGGGAATTTAAGCTCAGAATCTCATCTTTGCAAGGCTGGTATGACTTGTCATGCTGCATGTTGCTAATGGATTTTTTTGTATGTGTTCTATTCAATTTACGTGTAGCTTGCTCTCATAACTGATATGTTTTTACTTATCACAAAGTATTATTGTGATATTAATGAAAAAATCTAGATACAAGTTTTAGTTAATTAAATCAATAAAATACAAATATACTTTTGCAAAAGAAAAATATTTTGCCAATGTTTCCTTTATTGACCTCATTAGGGCGAATAGCATGTTAAAAACTTTTGGATATCTATTAGAAAGTAAACATAAATATTCATCTTTCTAAATGCCATACTTTACCATTTCCTGTAACTTACTTTGAAATATTAAAAACACATTTGGAATGATGTAAGGGTTAATTTTTCATCTACATAAGAATAACTCACTCCTCACAATTGAAAGCTATTTCTTTTCATCTCTTTCTAATACAAATTAATACAGTGTGGGCATTAGGTTATTTCAACACAGAACCAACACAATATAACATTCTAATATTATTTTAATTTTGACACGCATGTCAAATCATCATATAATTGTATAGAGTTAGGACATTTTTGCAGCTTTCCTATAAAATTTTTGACAAATAATATCTTGCATTGTGATATGTCACTAAAATAAAATATATTTAGTAATAAAATATATTTGATAAAATAACATCTTTTATAATTTTAGCTTTAAAATAGTACTCAAATCCTAGAAACCATAATGTATGGATATTAAAAAACATCACAATTAACTGACGAGTATTAAGATCTAGTATTTACAACAATTGGGTAGCTTCTAACACGTTTATTGGAAAATAATTCACTTAAGGGATAGGAAGCATAAACTTCCTGGTGTCATATCATTTGACATTTTTGTCTGTATACCATGCTTCCACATGTTTTATAAAACAACTATTAAGAAAATGGCGTATTTTCATATTTCAGGATTAATATCCAGCAAAACAATTGTAATTCAGCCTCCTAATAACACATTGACAAGAGTAATAACCACTAATTAGAGGAGACTATAGCTAGGCGTATGATCCATCAAATAATGTGTGAGATGATTGGCGTGTAATGAGAGGTCTAGCAATATTTTGGAGAAATTGCGTGCTTTTATCTTTCCAACTTAAACAACCAAAGCAAGCTTCTTTCACAACACTCACCTACTGTCAGCTGTCCAGTTAGTTGCCCCATGTGATTTCTTGCATTCACTGTCACATTCCTGTCAGACTGTAAGACCAGCGGACTGTCCTGGGAAACATGTATAAAATAAGTAAATCCAACAGAAGATCAAAATAGAAGCAAAGCAAATATAAAATTACACTGTAGAGATTTGGGTGCTACTTAAAGTCTATTTTAGTGATTTACTTAATGGCTTAATCATTCTAAACTTTAGTTGAGAAATAAGTAAGATTTATGGGTCTCATATTAATCACTTGACAGTGTAAGAATGTTTCTGTTCTTTATAAGCTCACACAAACTATCGGACATAAACATTTCCAACTCTCCTGATTGACTTCATCCAGAGATATAGCTGTACATTCTTCTTCTCTTTTTCAGGAGTATATAGACATATATATATATATATATATAGATAGATGATATATGTGGGTGTGTATTACATATATGTGTGTGTGTATGTGTGTTCACATATATACATATACATATAGATGTATATCCCTGACACGAATATTTTAGGCATAATCCAAATGGGTAAGGATTTTTTCAGTTTAAATTATAAAATCAACACCTCAGCTATAATGACAAAATAGCCATTTCCGATCTTTGTAACTACAGATTTATTGTTCTAATCACCATTTATTGTTGAAAGTATATATCACATGGATAATTTATTTTGTTTCTTATTTTGCTTTGTTGGGTTTTTTTGTTTCTTTTCTTTCTATCCTTCTTATACTTGATCAGGTCACAAGACAAAGGATTCCTGTGCTATTTCCATATTACATGTGCATCTAGTTACACACCCAATTACTTAATCAATTGCTCAAGAAATCATTTGCTCTATAATTAATAGTTGCAAAGTCTATGTAAATAAAACTAATATACATTATTTTACTTTCAGGTGGAAATGCTAAGTGAATTATAGAATGTGAGTTCATATGTAGAATTTATGTTTTTTCTTGAAAATGCTCTTTTAGTTTATATAACTCTGGTTAAATATTGTATTACTAGTTCATATGAGCCAAATAGTTTCTTGAAGGACATTTATTTCCCTAAGATTATTCACATTAGACTTTTACTATTACCTGCCTTAGATAATTAAATTACAGCAATAATTATTATAACAATAAAAATTTTGCTGATATAAGATTGAAGTAAGATTATCACTTACCAATTGTCCCTTCATTCACCTAATCAACTTTAACTGAACATTCATTGTGTAAGATGAGGCTTTCTAAAAGTTGGGATGTGTCAGAAATCAAGACACACAATATTAGTAAAACTACTGAAACTTATCTACTAGATAGTGAGATAAGATAAAGTTCTACCAGTATCATTCTCACCCCTACTATCTCATGTGATTATGCAAATGTCTTACATTTGAACCATATAACAAGTCCTCTAAGATTAGCATTTGGAATTTGTGATCTGAGTATGCATAAGAGACTTTGTAGACATTTTCCTAAAGCTATTTTAGGCCCTTTTGACTAGATAGCAATTTAATTCTGAGAGGAAATTTAGGTGGAATAATGTAAAGAGATCAGAAGAAACTTCAATAGGATCCCTAGGGCTATGAAAGGTAAATTAATGCATTGTAAACAAGGACAAACCAGTAACTAAACTGTCACTTCTAACTAAGCAAAAAAATACATATGCACACACATTCACACACTTTCAAAGGAGGATTTTGCTTATATGTATAAACTAGGACCTGAAAAGACTTGATTTTTAAAAGTAATTTAAAAGTGCTAAGAATACATTTGCACTGTTGAAACACAAGTGCCTAGAACTATGATACCTGATTTCATTCTCTCCTTGCCTCTAATCATACTACTCTTCTTTCTACTGCAAATCAAAAATGTTATTTCTGTAGGGGAGGAATTGGTGATAATGTTGAAAGGGCTAACATTGATCTAGATATTTTAAATTCATAAACTGCTTTGTTAAATGGCAACTGTTTTTGTACAACTACTATGTAAAGATAATAAATCCTGTAAAAAGAAAGATTGATCCTTAAAAAAAAAAAAAAGGTGTTTCTGGTGCCAGTGGCTCATGCCTATAATCCTAGCTACTCAGAAAGCTGAGATCTGAGGATCACAGTTCAAAGCCAGACTAGGAAGGAAAGTCTTTGAGACTCTTATCTCCAATAAACCACCAGAAAACCAAAAGTGGTGCTGTTGTTCAAGTGGTAGAGTGTTAGCCTTGATCTGAAGAGTTGAGGGACAGCACCCAGGCTCAGAATTCAAGCCCCACAACTGACAGAAAAAAAGAAAGAAAAGTGTTTCTGAATTAAGAAACTTGTATCTTTCATTTCTCCATAAGTAGACTTATCTACTTATAATATCTGAAGTTCTCCAACTCTATCATTTATTTCAAGTTATATACCCACAGTATATGCACAGTTTGTACACAGTTAAGTAAGAACATATATTTCTGATACCAACAGCATGTTTTATAGATATAAAGATTTATAGATATAAGATTAGATTCAATTACTGGTAAATTTCAACATGAATACTTTTAAAGTTCTTAATTAAATAATATCATTTGAGTGTATGATTGAGAATTATGAAAACATATTTCAGTCAACTGACAAATAAAATATTTGCTAAAATATATTGGTGCAATTGAAATTTATACTTTCAATATTATATATATATATATACACACATATATATGCATATATATTTTTGTTTAAATTTGAAATAACAAATGATTTCATTTAAATTACCAGATAAACTATGAAATTTAGCAAAATAGAGGAACATGGATATATGTATGTGTATATATATATATATATATATATATATACATATATAATTTAAGAAAAATAGAAGGGTAAAAGTAATTACCATATTAAATATCCAAATAGGAAAGAAAAGTGTTTTTCAAGACTGCAAGTGCAGACAGGCATTGGAGCCACAAACCTATAATCCTAACACATGACTAATCTTAGCTATTCAGGAGGGTGAGATCTGAAGTTCATCGTTTGAAGAAAGCCTAGACAGAAAAAGTTGTGAGACTCTTATTCTAACTAACCACTAAAGAGTCAAAAGTGGAGCTGTAGAATGCTATTATTGAGCAAAACAACTCAGTGAGTGCCTAGGCTTTAAGTTCAAGCCTTAGGACTGGCAAAAAAAAATTTATTTTATCTGACTTATTAGAGAAAGACTTTTTCTGATTTATTAAATAGACTTGGTGAGAATTGAGTTTACCCACTGGGTGTCTTTGTTTAAAATTTATTAATTCACCTTTCCTCTAGCCTTAGGGATCTTGCTGAAGTTCTCTCTTGGCATGCATCCCTTCTCTTTAAATTATTCCACTAAATTTCCTCCCAGAATTAAATTGCTATATCCAGATTAAAATTTTATGAAGAGAGCAACAGCAATCTCTATACTTACTAAACCTATAAGCATAGAGCTATCAGAGGAAATAAGCAGTTCTTTATACTGTATTTATTTGGACAAAATTATATTATTATGCTATAGTGATTTTTTAACTGTAATCAGCTAACTGAACAAAAAAAAAACCCAGCAAGTATTTGTGGTAAAGAAAATAATGCTCTGAAGAGCATCATTGTCATCACATTAACATTGTAACATTGTATAGCATAGTGATAGTTTTAGAGATTAGTATTACCTCATATATATCTTAAATTTAACACATGAACTTTTTGCACAGTACTCTGTTAACTATTCAAAGTATTCAGTTAAGGGCACCTATGTGGCAAAGTATGTAAAAGGAAAATATTGGCAACTCATGATTTCTATGATGGTGCTATAATCACATAAGTCAGCAACTTATCAGCAATTGATAATTCTGATAATAAACTAAGTAGGAGTAATACTATGAAACTATATCTTACCAAAATACTGACACTTAAGAGATATTGTCCTTACATAATGAAATTGTGTTTTTTTTTTAGTTGGAGATTTTATTTTTTTTATTTATTTTTTTCCATTTTTTTTTTTTGTGTGTGTGTGAAAATACTGAACAGAGGGGTTACAATTACATGGGCAAGATAATGAGTACATTTCTTATCAAGCATTGTAGCCTCCTCCTTTGTTTCCCCTTCCCAGCCCTTCCCATCCTCCCCCTGTCTCCCCACCCAATCCTCCCCCCACCACCAAAGTTGTAAAGTTCATTTTCAACATAACAACTTGTACATCTCATTGTTGCAATGGGTCCACCTGTATCCTTATTTAAACGATTTGTTTTTCCCCTTCCCCTCCACAAATTATACCGACATCAAATACAGTGAAAGCAGGGGTTAGACCGTGGGGGAGGGACATACAAAGCAACAAAGAAATCATCTTATAAATGTGTTAGAAACAATAGCATGAAAGAAAAAGAAAACATTTGAATACACATCTTAGGGTTCATTTCCCAAACATCAACTTGAAATTGTGTTCTTTTTGTCTTTTTCTCCAAAGGCTTTTACAGAAGGAAATAACAGTCCCTGATATTTGTATTTTGCTTTATTAATATTACTGGTTTATTTTGATTTTCTGTGTCCCCAAATTTACAAAGATAATATCTGGATGTATATTAAAATTTTTGTGTGTCGGTATTAGAGTCTGCCTCATAATTCTGCATTCTTAGTTGGCTTTTTTGCTTATGGTGGTGCTCAGATCAAGCATTTTACTGGTTAATTAGACATGAGTCTCACGGACTATTCTGTCTGGGCTGGTTTTGAATCCACTCATTACAATTCTTTAGTACAAAGATCATGTTGAGGCCAAGACTGGACTTTGCTTATGGCACTAGAAAGTTATAAACATGTTTTTTCCATCTGACACTTTTCATGATTGGCTATGCAAGTGGTAAAAAATGAGTAAAATTTTAAATTACTATTGTGTTCCTCTTTCTTTATCATCAGTACTTCTCGAGTTATCTACACAATGCTGAGCTCGCTGCTACCTGCTGCTTATCAAAGAGAATCAAAGAAGACAAACTTTGTTCTGTCAAGGAATTTTTTATTGTAGAAGTCCACACCGGTTGTAAAATAGACAATTAAACCCAGAATGTTACTGGTCCAAAGATATGTCTTAAATTAGGTATGTTTGGGGAAA